TTTTCGCGTAAATAAAAGGTTTTAAAAACAAGTCGTCGTAAATGAGTGGTAAAATTGTTTTTAAAACCTTTTATTTCAACAAAAAACCTGGTTTGATTTCAATAATTGCTTCTTTTTCAGGGGAAAATTGGCGACAATGGGAGTGAAAATCATAGCTTCCGAGGTAGAGCATTTGTTTTTTGCGCCCACAGTACAGCGTTTAAATTAACTCGCCGTGCCTGGAAGGCGCAGAGCATACCGGGCCCGAGTGATAAAGCGAGGGATGAGATAAAATACAAGCTCGCTTTGATTTCGATCTATTATTTGAATGGCGGGGTGGCGAAACCGGGGCTCTCTCCGCCCTTGCTCGGGCGCGGTGCCGCGCCGGTGCGCGCTGCGGTCGGCGGCCCTTCCGCTGGGCCAGGCCGGGTCCGGTCGCCGAGATTCAATTCGCGAACGGGCTAATGGATGCAACGCCGGGTAATCTTGTCTAATTGATCTAATTCCCGACAGATGTAATGTATGGAGTAATCAACTTGTTCTGCGTCCGCCAAGGCGGAAACGATCGCTCCCGGATGACGTCACAAGGTGCGATGACCTTGACGCATTCCGTCATATTTCATCCCATGCATTCCGAAGCCAAAATCGTGTGCTTAAAGTTGTCCAGCAAATGCAATACTGAAAGGGTCGTGTCGAAGTCCGGATATTAGCCGGATATTGTCGAAAACTGTATGTGGTAAGCACTTCTGGCGGTTTTTGACGTTTCCCGCACGAAGGAACGTAACTAAATGCCAAGATTGCAAAATTGACTCAAGCAATTCAATTTCTTCCTGGAGTAAACTTGCACGGTTTTTGTTTGCAAAATTTGTCTGATTTTTGCATGAAATCAGAAGAAAAATTTGTGAAATTTTCAGAATTTTGCGGCCAGAGATCAGCCGACAGAAAAATTCTTGCATACAAAAAGAGCCGTGTCGAAATCCGGATATTAGTCGGATATTGTCGAAAACTGTATATGAAGCGGCTGATACACATGCAAGTTACCAGCGCTTGTTGAAAGTGAAACACCAATAGGAAACTGGGATTTCGATCGCTAAACGTCGAGCTAACGAAATCTCTCTTGCCTATTGGTGTTTCACTTTCAACAGGCGCTTTTAACCCGCAGATGTATCTGGGCCTTAAGTACATCTGGCGGTTTTTGAAGTTTCCCGCACGACGGAAAGTAACTCAATTCCAAGATTGCAAAATTGACTCAAACAATTCAATTTCTTACTAGAATGAACTTGCATGGTTTTCGACGAAAATGTGTCTGATTTTCGCATGAAATCAGAGGAAAATTAGTGAAATTTTCAGAATTTTGCGGCCAGAAATTAGTCAAAAGAAAAATCCTTGCTCAAGTCGTTGGCGTCGTCAAGGTCTCTCGCTCTTAGCTCATGTGCGTTTTCTTGAATTTCTTCATCTCGAAGGTGGAAGAGATGGATCGGCGGCAAAGGTGGAATGAAGTGTTGAGGGTGAAAAATGTCAACGTTCTGACGTACGATTTGGAATGCCTCTCATTGACGACCCGCCAAAACAAGCTCGAAGTTCGATGAACACGAACTTGAAAAGGCACTCCTCTGCAAAGTGCTGATCGGATTCCTTGGCAACCAATCAGAACCAAACCTGGAATCATTTCCGTATCTTTATCCTAGTTGGTGAATGGCTGAAATTCTCTACATTTTCCAGCGTTCTATCGGATGAATTTGTGTTTTTTAAAGGTACATCGAAACATGCAAATTCTACGTACGTGCTTAGTTGGTATACTTTAGAATTCAACTGTAGTTAGTTGCTTTTAGGATAAAATCTTTAAATTAATCAGGGACGCTTGTCGGTTTTTAGTTACCAGCGAATAAATCTAAAGCCAAAATGGCATGATGGCAGATGCATGGTAAGTGTACTGGCCAAATGTGATGAACAGTAAATGCATACCGACAAAATAATTTTCCTTGCATTTTCTCACACCAATTAAAACGCTTATTTAGCTATGCGCATCGAGACCAATAAAAAGTTCGCGGAAATAACTTTCGAGTAACGGGAAAGTTCTGTCTAAGAATATTAATTTTAAGTCAAGAGACGTACACAACAAAAAATCAGCTGCCTTAAACTTTATTAAAGCATCTATGTTGCTTTCATCAATCACGGATATTAAGTGAAAAGCTTTCATAAGCTAGCATAATGTGTACAGGAAAATTTAATGCTATTTTTTATGCCTTTTGATATAAAGAAAGGGTTGCGACGGTTTTTAATTTTCACCTGTATCCGATTTCCTCCAAACGTATGGTGTGACGTAGAGGCTTCATTTCTCAGAGACATTTATGCTGGTTTCCAATTATCACTGGAAATATCCTCCAGCATTCCGCGGATGAGTTTGATACAGCGATAACCGTTATAACCACGCGTTCAAGTCCCCGCAGCCGGCCTCAGCGTTGCGCGGCTGGCGTCGAGTCGGGCCCAGCGTGCAAAACCGATAAACAAACATGAATTTTACCGACAGGCACACCGGCACCGACCTGGAAATACTAATATACAGCATTGCCCTTGTCGCTGCCACGTTTTCCGGTGACTTCATCCGTAACAAAAACATTGTGCAAAAATTGCACATACGTACGCAACGTTCTTTTCTCTCAACTTCTGTATGGATTTATTTTGAAGATAAAACAGATTTTTCGTTATTTATTACGTCAAGACGAGGCAAATCATTGTTATTTCTTGCGATAATCAATTCCCGAGATTATTCTGCTGAATTTTGCTTAAGGTTCGTTGAAATTATGATCGTCCGTTTTATGATGCTATACGTTACGGATCTCCTTGAGCCCCCCTGATTAAAATGTAAACCTGCGGGTGAATTATAGAAATTGATAGACAAAGCTATACATAAAGAAGAAAAAAGCTGATTGGAAGGATCCTATTGGTGGAAGGGGGTGGTTAGAATGGATAAAGTAGGTGAGTAATAGACTAACTAACGGGGACCCGCGAGAGACCCAATAGTTTGGCCATCATTTCCCCCGCAGTCTATAACGATCACCCACTTAAACCAATAGGATCGCTATATACTCCCTCTGTCTTCTTTCTCTATGGATTTGTCTATCAACAGGGCCGGATTTACCTACTTGCCGCTCATGGGCTGCCTGCATTTTTCCGCCCCCTTCTCATTCGTTTTGAAACATCAATAGATCTATAAAAACCATCAAGTGAACGTGCCGGTGGGGGAGGGGTGTATGAGACGCGTTTACTCGTGTTGGCCACATTTTGTGTGAAAGCCCTATCAGCACTAACGAAAGTTCCGTTCCGTAAATCCATCCCTGTTTGAACACGGCCTTCCATTTATAAAAACGAACGAAAAAATTATGAAAGAACAAACATAAACGTGGTTAACAATTTTAACTTCCACCGCTGCCCGACCGCACTGTGTTGGCGCAATGCGTGAAGTATTCATGCAGTCTTGTAGGCGCTATGCGTTTCACGCCGACTGCTAGTGACCACACTGTTTGGCGCAATGCGTGAAGTATTCATGCAGTCTTGTAGGCGCTATGCGTTTCATGCCGACCTCCGCACCGCTCCGTTCCAGGTCTAATTGCGTGTTTGGTTTCTCTCTTAACTCGACTAATTGAAGGTGCTGTCTCTTGCATCACCGAAAGACGACAAAATTAGAAATTAATATACTTTCACTCTCAAGAAATGAGAGATTTTGTCGGCTTCTCTCGTTAGTAATTTATTTTCTGAATCCGATTTTTCTCTCTCTTTTTTTGATACCTACATTCAAAAAGATTGCAAAATTTGCCGCCCCCTACATTTTGCCGCCATGGGCCGCGGCCCATGTGGTCACCCCATCAATCCGGCCCTGTCTATCAATATCAATAACCAGCCTGCAGTGGGTGGGAACTCCTGGAGAAATGAGCTTTCGAAGGTGCGACCATAGAAACTGACGTAAGTCCTCCTCATCCTAAACCCGATTTTGCCCTTATCACCCCAGATGATGCCGATCCACCTGTAAAAGCTCCCGGCGTGCGGTTTGGCAATCCGCCACGCAAGCATCCGCGCGGTAGTTGAGCCGCGACTTTTATCGAGCGGCGAAGAAATGTTACTCTATTAACGGACTGTCCGACTTGATGTTTTATTGTGACTAAAAATAAACGGTCGTCGATCGTCCCCGACTAGTCGTCGCGGCCTTTTCCGCTGCTTCCCCCCCCCCTCCCGGTTTATCGATGCTCGCGATCGCTCCGTTTTATAAATTGCTTGTTCTCTGTTCACTTACTATCAAGGGATGTGTAAATCAAATTCCGTTGAGCGTCGCAGGGTCGTAAAGTAACGCACGCTAATTCTCTGGCAAATCCTCTTGCAACCTCCCCCTGCCCTCTCCTTTCTCCTTTTCACCGTAGAGTG